TTCAAGCTGATCCACTGGCAGGAATTCCTTATGCTAGTTCCTTCCGCAGAAAACATGGCATGATCATGATGACAAAATTAACGAAGCCCTGATGCAGATCTAGTAAGGATACCGAAACTGGTCAAACGCCATATGTAGCTGAGACTAATTTTGTCTACTCTAAACAAAGGAACATTGTAATTTCTCCTTAGTGCCATTGATGACTTCTACTTGTCCGGCTTAAATGCTAGTGTCTCAAACTAGTCATCAAATGTACAACTTGAGAAATATACATGAACAAAGCCATTCATTCGAGAAAGTAACTTAAAATGGCAGCCCTCCATCTTGGACGATCTTCATAGACTATAGTAGGTTCAGTTTTTCTCCAATCGACTAAAAGGAAAGAAAAAAAGTAGCAAACCTTGAGGTTCTAAACAGCTGTAATCCCAGAAACTTCTGGTATTTCAAATACCGTATTTGTGGTAATGATAGTCCCCCTTCAATGTGATTAATATTTTGCCTTAACCAGCCGTCATAGCGGCAACTTTGATAGTAAATTTTGTTACTTAATTGGTACTCGTGTTGATAAAATCAAGTTCAGTTCTGGAACTTGCATCCATATTACCTTCTGTTAGTGCAATATTAATTGGCTGCCATCCTGAAGCATGATGAAAAATCCATTTCTTCACTGAGGTTATTATATTCAAAATCTGAAGCACATCGCCCAAGGCAAAATCTACTAAACATTCTTTCCTCAGAATCAATGCTGCCTCATATCTGCAAATCAATAGAAACAGAAGTTATTATTGAAACTAAAACCCAACAATCTAGAAAGCCAAATCGGCTTGAGATGACCAGAAATCACATCACCTGCAACGAGAAGCCAATATTGCACAACGACCAGCTGGAGAAGCCAAAAACTTTTGAATCCTATCCCATATAGCTTTTTGGTACTGATTAGGATGCCCACCTAGAGGGTTTACACACTTCCACAATTTTTCAGTCTTACCAACATACAATTGCACTGCTCCTAAATTCTGCTTCACTACCATATTATGCTCAATCCCACTATCTAGTGCCATTTTTACATCGGTATTGCAGTTTTTCAAATCTCCATATCGGATGCAGTCAACTATATTTGCCTCAGTTGGCATAATTTTTTCCATTTTCAGGGTGTTTAATGCAAGAAGAATAACTCCAATAAGGCCTTGAATGTACTCAGAAGGTGGTGGTGATTGCCCTTGAGATCCCCAGCCATCATTATAAGAAAAACTTTTAGGAACAGTTGTGGAAGATGAATGAGCCCCATACTCTACTACATTACGAGCAGATCTATTATCCAACCCGTCATGTTGAAATGACTGACCACCATGCTGACTACGGCCTCTGTCTGGTAAGTTAAAATTACCTGGATCTTGAGACTTGGTATGCGGTCTAAATTCACCTGCTTGGTGATGAAAATTTGGAGGATTCGTAGCATAATTGGGATAATCAGAGATATGTAGCTTATTAATATTTGGTGCAGAGAGATCAGGTTGACCAGGGACTGGAAAAGAATTATGATTATGGGAATTAGGAGGAAAAACATTATCTGGTCGAAAAGAAGGATGGAACTGCATGTTGTTTTGCCTCATGTGAGGAGGCTTGTAATTGGAGGAACTACCCATGAAATTATTGCCATCATTCCTAAATTGATTGGAACTTTCAATAAAAAGGTTTGGAGTAGACTGACAAGCTGAGGCGGCAGGATTGCTGCTACCAAAGAATTCATGGGGTGCTTTCTTAAACTGCTTTGCTTGCATATGATTCGGTTGGTTTAAAAAATTAAGGTTTTGCTCTTGCATAGAAACAGGCGAGCTTAAAGCTCTGAATAGGACTGGTTGGTTGGAGGTTTTCTGTATATTTTTGCCTTTTTGTTTGTTATCACCCATCCTCTCAGTAGAATAAGGTCTTTGGTTTCCCAAAGAGACATTTTCAGGTTTGCAAACCATAGCTTGAGCTGTCTGATTATGATCAAATCCAGAGTTATGTGATATTTGAGGGTCAGAAGTAGGGATACCATTCGCAAGTTGAGATGATTCAGCACTAGATATTGGGGGTCCTCCAGCTGATAGACTCATCCAAAGCCAAACACTCTTTGCTGCTGCGACTAGTGGTGCAGAAGCTTTTTGTGGCTGTGCTAGAAGAATATTATATCTTCTCATTCTTAATTGATGAAGTGCATTAGAAAAATCTCTATCACCGGATATTAGTAAATAATTTGCAGGAGCAGGGTTATCAACAGCCCAAAACAGCATATCAACTAGAATCTTCTTGTCACTTGCATCTTTAACACCTGTTAGAAAAATTAACAAATTAGAGTCGAATAATTCCCTTCAACTTTTCTGTAATGTTTTTTATACAAGTTGTTTTAAAGTCAATGAATTATGAATATATCAACAAGATCACATATCTACCAGCTCAAAAGAGTCAAAAACAACTTTAGACTAATAAAAAGGAGCAGTGCAGGAGAGTACAAGATAATTGGAAAAACACAAAGGAAAAATTATCATTTCAATAGACTTTAGAAAATCACACTCCAGAAGAGTACTTAATACTTTCATAAAGGAACCTGCCAAACTACTTTACGATGCATAAAAGAAAAATAAACTGAATTAAACTATGGCAGTTACAGAACGATAAAGAGGGAGAAAAGGGAATACAGACAACTTACATGGTTCAGCTCATATGAGCCTACATTCACGAGCGAAGACAACAGAAATGTATTTCATAATATCTAAGAGGGTATTACGAAAAAGCACACTGAAGCACTCACAAAACACGAAGCACACCCAAAATTAACTCACAGAATTAACTTCCAGATGAAATTGGAAATTGATTACAAAATTAAGCTTCAAATGCGGAATAAAACCCCCTCTTTTATTTATAAAAACAATTTATTAATTAATAATCCTAAATATGAGGATAAAACATTCTCTACAAGAACCAAAAGGAATTATAATTCCAATTTGTTGAATAGAAGAATAGTTACAAATTAAGTCGACAAGGATTAACCGTATCGGTTCACAAAACTCTAGTTCGTCTTTGAAGACTGTAACCTAAAAACATTAAACGTGAGCATTTAGCAGCTAGCACCCGCTAAGATCAAACAATCTATGAGGGATCTTTTCCTTTTTGGGTCTTGAGGAACTCATTGATGCCTGATGGCGAGTTTCTTGGAGACAATTTCAAAGCCTAGTTTGTGACTTTGCAATGACAAGATAAAACTCATGTTTTTGTTCCTTACATCGTATTCATTCAGTTGCCACTTGCAAGGCAGCTCACAAAGTTTAGCTAGGACGGGAATCAACATCATGTATCCAAACCACTCCAATAACCATACGGGAGGGAAAAAATGTGGGAATTGACGAAAAATCATGCCAGACTAGGGAAATCGACAATAAACCTTGCATAGATACCAAAAAATCACATTCGACCCACACATCAGTAAACAGTGAGCAAAGGGAAAGCACGAACCCTAGGGGGGAAAAGAGAATTACCGGCAGGGACGTGATTTAAGGCGATGCCAGTACTGGAGAGAGCTTGCTGAATAGAATTGGGAATTCGATTGGTATCTCCATAAGCGGAGATGGAAACGGGACCGCAATAGTTAATGTTAACGAGGGCGGAGCTGATGTTTTGGGCGATGGCGTGAGGATCGCAGCTCTTGGGGACCTGACAGTTCTCGATGTCCCACCATACAGAGGTCTTGGCCCTCACGTACTGGGCCTCGGCCGGAGCAGCCGCCCCTGCTGCTGCAGCTACATCTCCATTCATGGCGTGGCGCAAGCAAATCTCCACACAGAAAAAAGGAAAAAAGAAAAAACCCAGATGGAATTGGGAAGGAAACGAACCAGTGGTGGTATTTACAGTCGTGGTCTCTTGATCTGACCCCTTTTACACGATGGTCTGTTTTGATTTTTCTCGCGAGGTCTCAGTGGGCTCTTCAAGGTCAGTTCGTGAGAAAATAGACCTTTTTTCCTTAATCAACTATGACTCGCTCCACACGCCGCCATTAAATCCAAGTTCCACCCACAAGGAAAGTTATTAATATAATTTTTCTAATTGGAAATTCAAACTTATAATATTTTAATCCAAAGTAGCTACCTTAACTATCGATTGAAGTAAGTTATAAATATCTTAGTCGAGGTTAACAATATCATATTAAAATGTACTCAAAAAGAATAATAAACAAGTTAAACTTTAGATTTGGATAACTATTACGATTTTTACTATATAGTTGCTCTCCATGAATGTTTATTGTTGGCGATATATACTATTTTAGATTTTTAGGTTTAGATGGAATATTTTGTGTTACCAAACTAATCTTTTATGATTCTTCTGCTATGTTTGTTACAGTATTTTAATTTATATTTCCTAATAATTTAGTATTTCATTTGAGGTTGGTATATTTATTAATGATTAAATTTTTAATTTTTAATCTTTATTAATTGATGATGACAATTAATTTCTTCTCTTCCTCCCATATTCTTTTTTTTTTCTTGAAAAATCCTCCCATATTCTATTAACTATATTCTCTCCGTTTCTACCGTATTTATTATGGGATTTCAATTTTTACTTTCTTGATTTCGATTTTTATTTAGGGCAAATATATTTATTGAGGGTATTAATGGTTAAAATTTTAAATTTTGTATCTTTATTATGTTATTTTAATTTTCTATGCAAATAGTAACACTCATAAATGAATTTTTTTTTCAAATAATGAATCCATATTAATTAAACAATTAAATAATTTTTCATTCCATAATTGTATATTAACTTATTTTCTTTTCATTTCTTTTGCCGGCAAACATTATTTTATATACTTTTTTTTTTGACAAAAATCATTAATGTTTGTTGGTTTTTTAGCAAAAATCATCCAAATTTAGTTTTTTTTTCAGCAAAAATCATCAATATTTATTTATAATTATTTTCTTTTCATTTTTTTTGCCGGCAAACATTATTTTATATACTTTTTTTTTGACAAAAATCATTAATGTTTGTTGGTTCTTTTTAGAAAAAATCATCCAAATTTATTTATAATTTTTTTCATTGTCGTCATTTTTCGGTTGAAATTTCTTAATGGGATTATATATATTATATTATTATAAAATAATTTGTATATAGCTTTGAGATCATTATGATGTACGTGTTATAATTTATATATACCTAAAAGATCAAGATGTACTAAGGGTGTTCACGGGTTGGGTTGAGTTAGGGGTATTTTTGAGACCAACCCGAATTTTCGGGTTGGCCATATGTAAGAATGGGTCTAAAATCGATGGCCAACCCAACCCAAAATTTTCAAGTTGGGTCGGGTTGGGTTGTTTTTTTTTCTCATATATTTTTCTAATCTCAAAGGTACAAAACGGCTCACGTAGAAGAATCAAAACCTCATTCACCGAGGCTCCTTTCGTGATAATATCGGATGGCAGAGAGGATAAGGCCGGCAACGATGACGACGGGCTGAAACGGCGACGTAAGCTCCAAAGGCGGGCGACGACGAGAGCTAGGACGATAGAAGCTTGAGTGAGGGAATAAAATGGAGGAGAGAAGGCTTGAGAGAGGGAAGAAAACGGAGGAGAGAAGGCTTGAGAGAAAGGAGGAGGGAAAGTGAGATTGAAAAGAAGAAAAAAACTCTACCTAAAATGAATGGCTAGGATTAAAAATAATGGAGGGGTGAGATTAAAGATAAAAAAAATATTATATATTTATAAAGATATTATTATATTATTTATAATTAAAAAACATATATAATATACATAAATTCGGGTTGGGTTGGGTTGACCCGAATTTTTAAAGGTTGAACCCGAGATCCAGCCCAACCCAAACCTTCATCTAACCCAACCCAACCCTTACGTTTGGGTTGGGTTCATCGGGTTCGTCGGATTGTCTGATTTTTTGAACACCCCTAAGATGTATCCTTACGAATAGTATGATGCACACATTTCTCATTTCTTATACAATTTTGAGAATGCTTTTTAAAAATGGAAAACAAAAAACATAAATAATGGTAAAGTACTAAAAATTTCTTAATAAAATAAAAAACGAGAAGCAAGAAACAATATAAAACATACCCAAAAATATTACGAAACATTACCACGCAGGCTTTAATTGATTCTGAGGATTCAAATTTAATGGTATACCATGCAGCTAACTCTATTTTGTAGTGATAATTTATACAAATTTTCAATGGCATTTGACGACACAGTACAAAAGAGGGCAATCGGAAAAAGCAGGTGTACATATTTGGCTGACATTATCAATACACAATATACTACACCTAAGAATTAAGAAATGCCAAGCTCCATTATTTTCGACTTGCTGTTAGAGTTTGAATTCTGGTTCACTGTTGTCTCCTTACCTGTATCCTCCACAAGTTTTAGATTTGATAAGGCAATGCTCAACAAATCATCAGAAACTGAAGCCCCAGAATTGGGTGTTGGCACGTCGATGTTTTGGCCTGTAACTTCCAACTCAAACTTTCGAAACTCCTCCTCAATATCTTCGTCTTCCAGAATCGAGCCAGATGGAGCTGAATCTATGACACCCAGAGCCGCATTCACTTATAATGAAAGAAAAGTTCAAGGCAAGAAACTGGGAAAAAATCCATAATAGAAGTACCTATAGCACTTGCAACTTGCTTATGTAAATCAATGCTGTCTTCTAGTTCCTGCATACTATGCTGGAGTTCCTCCCAACTAACCTCGTGTTCTTTCATTACTCGAGCACCAATTTGAATAGCTTCAGAAACCTGCCAGCAGGGTGTGATACTAGTAAACATTAAGGCATCAAGTTCTAAGTCAATACCAAAACCAGAATAATTTGTTGGTCGCTCACGATCTGTATTTGTTTAAAAAATGATTTTATGCTAAAAGTTAGCCAACTCTGTCATTGTTAGCAAGACAAAGATACAGGCACCTTCCACTAATTACAGGAGAAAACTAATAGTAAACTACCGTTTTTGTTGACTCGGCATCTGCAATAGCATTTAGGACTTCCTCCACTCTGTTTAAGAGAGATGCAACTTTTTCTCGACTTTCTGTACTGATCTTTAACTCTCTTGCATGTTTCAATGCAGTTTTTTTGTTTCCAGACTTTAAAGAAGCTAATGCAGATTGCCTCGACCTGCAATGAAAAATTGGCAGACAGACTTCACAAGCATATTACAAGGAGAGCATTATATGAATAGTTGTTCCACCCGTCCTAGTCTAAAACATTAAAAACTTCAATTAAGCCTTCCATTTTAACAACCAGAAGTTGTTGTCCTGGCCATTCCAAACAAACATTATTGTAGTAGATGATGAAACTGAACCCCAAACACTATTGACACAGAATAGCTGGAGTGTTTTCACCCCCTATCTTATCATGAAGCTACTAGAGACTTCTTATCAAGTTGTTTGCAGCTATGCCTCGAACAAGTACAATTTATAAACTGTGTTAAGAGCCATAAATAATTACACATTATAGCGCTGGTCAATCACATCAAGTTGTTGCTGAAGCTTTTCTGTTGTCCAAATTAAGTGCAAAATGTCACAGTCGAGAGTAGTGATACTAGGAACTGTAGCTGCTGAGAGAGAAACCTTCACACCCTGATTATTATAAGGGGGAATGGAAAAATCAAAAGAGAGTTATGGAGGTGATAACTCACTGACAGACTAAAGACATTGATGGAATTTAAAAAACTTAGTAGGTAAGGATTCTATCATGTTACATTCTTTACTATATGATGGAGTTTAATTTACACTACTCATTTCTTACTTTCTAACCAATTCTCCGGTAAAGTTCAGCCTTCGGCAGGCTGCACTGCCTTTCTTAAGAATCAAAGCAGCTTCACTACCCCTTTCATATTTTTAAAAATAAAACAAGAATGTACTTATATGAAGAATGAAATGCGGAAAAAGGAAAGAATGGCATACCTCTAAAAATTCCTCTTTTTCCCTAGAGAGATACCTTGCTTTACCACATCCAAACAAGTAACTTAAGATGGCAGTCGCTTCATCAGGTCCTCCACAGATGTTCTGGAACTTCATCATTGTAATAATGCAGGAAGAGGTCCAGTTACTATGAGACAAACACTTGACAACCTCAGCTGCTCTATCCTTGGCAGGGAAACATCTCATATTAAAGTTATAGAAGCAAAAACCAAGAGTCGTGAAAAATTAAAATGAACGTGGAAGTAAATTCAAAAGGAGATCTCAAAAAGGCAAGTTTCTAAAGAGAAGGAAAAAGTATAGAACCTGAAGAGGATTCGAGCAAGAGTGAGAGGAGATTAAAAGCATATACCTTTAATACAGAGGCAAGAACTACATATTCATCACGAAGCAAATCGTTGGGGTTCTTTTTGGATGTACCCATCAAATTGCTTAGTTTTTTAAATAAGTGAGAAAGTTGGCCACTCCTCGGGTCTAGCATGTCACTTTGTATTATAATGTCACCATCGATATACATTTGATGCTGAATAGAATGGTGAATTATTATAGGAGAGAACAACAACACAGTTCAATAAATTATAAATAAAAGAATAATAATCTTATTTGGAAGCAATACCAGGACATGGTCAAGACACAGTGGAGCCAACCCTCCTTGAGAAAACCACTGATTCCTTATCTCAATAGGTTTGATGAATATGAAGTTGAATTTATGGGCAATTGTGAGGATCAAATCCCTCCAAAATAGGTATCTGGGTTCCCAATCAGATTTTTGCCCACTGAATGCCTTGAATCGAGCTGTAGTCACCACTTCATCATCCCAGTCAGTGACTTTGTCCTTGATGAACTCTCTTACGTGTGACCCCTTCAATTCCTTTTCCATTTTGTTTGCTTTTTACACCTATGTTTTGAGGTGCTCCTTACCTTCAGTCCAATCCAACTGTGTAAATCTTGAGTTAGCAAAAACATGTATTTTAATACTGGACACTTCCTTTCCATGTTTTCAAGTGATTTCAAGTTGTAGTTTCATGCTAGAAAAATCATAACCAAGCTATTAGTCCATAAAACATCCAGGGACCTTCTAACAAAAGATCTTAAATTATGAATTTCAGCAGAGAGAGTTTTAAGAGAGTCGTTGAGGACTGTACAGAGAACTCTCTGGAAAATCATAAAACCAGTAAACGAGAGAGAGAGCAAAAAGTCCTTAACATTAAGAAAATTTATCCTCCACTTAATGGTCTAAGTTTATTCCTAACAGAAAAGGCATATAGAAGATTCAAATCAACTTTAAAAAGCCTAGCTTTCCCCCACGGAAAAAAGAAACTACTAAGCCATGCCAATGGTTCATGGAACACAAAATGTACATTTTTTAACATAGATATTAGCACGCATCTGACATGAAGACCATTGCATAAAAACAGTAATGAAGTAAGGAAGTGACAATACAAGAATTCAATTCAAACTCATAATAAGTGAGCACAAATTTGATCTTCTATTAGTCTATTTTTAACCAGGGGCTGAGAGAAAACCACTAGAAAAACTGGCATGCTCGATCAAAGTTCAAATTTCATCAAGTAAAAATGTGATAGCACAATCAAAAAATAGATAAATTGAAGGAACGAACTATTATGCCGATATAAAGCAAAATTACCTAATCTTTTTCAATTGGAGGAACTATAGCCCTCTTCTTCTCGCTACAAACTGCTCGAAATCAAACACGCTGCACTTGTAAGACTGGAAAATGGAAATGAACTAAAAGCATGAACAGATATGTATTTTTAAAGGAATCGATGGGCCGATTACAGAAGGTAAGATGATAGCGTTGACGGAATGAAATAGCAATCAACCAAATGCCAAAAACTTCGTTCCTAAAACCTCGTCGAACACAAATGAAGCGAAATTGCAGTAATATTGAGGATTTAGTAGTAATCAATCAAAAGAGGGATTCCCCAAAGCTTGTTACATTCAATTTTTTTAAGAACCCAAACCAAAAGGGGGGATGCTCCTTCTCTTTCGTCTTTTACCCTCTTTTTTTCCCTTTTCCTTTTTCCACCTCTAAAATATAACATCGGAAATTGATGATCTAAAAATGTTTTCGCTTCTCAAATAACCTAAATTAGAAAAATTGAGTTTTCTAACCCAATTTTAACTTTTCTGACCTTTCAGGAGGGATGTAATGACGAATATAGCCCTGAATTAATTAAACTTCCATGGATCTTGCACGGAAATAGTTCAAATCACGTACCTTGGTATAATTAAAACCTTAGACGAGTTGGATTTGATTTACGGCCGTGAAGTTATTAAAGTACCACCAACTTATTAATTCCCCACCAAATTTTTGTACTATCATTTAATATATACCCACACATTCGTACTGATTGCAGAGAATAAAAGTTTGTTTCAGTCTTTATTGTCCTCATGCACATCTTTCACGTTTTTTTCAAAAACTCCCATATTTTTTCCAACATTTTCCACATCTTGAACCTTAAAGGAAGTCATTTGTTCATCTTTGACATCTTGAACAAAGTTAGTTTTTTATTTGTTCATAATATTGTTTTTGATTCATTCAGAATATGATGTATATAGTTGGAGTCCAAAGTGAATGTAATGTCTGAACTTTTGATGCATATTTTTGTCGGTCAAAAGTTCCCTAAATCAATGAAACTCGGTCGCGTTTCTTCGTCTCACAGTCGTGGTCTCTATTTGTTTGATTCCCGATCATGGTTGTAGGTTCCCTCGATCGTGGTTGTACACAGACACTCTTTCATTGTCTCACGGTCGTGGTTCGTTGTTGTTTAATTTTCGGTCATGGTTGTAGGTTCCCACGGTCGTGGTTGTATACTTATATATTCTCGAGCGTGTCTTAAACTATCACAGCCGTGGTGTGCAACTTTGATTACTAATTACTTGTGTGTTTTATTATTATCCATGCAGAATGCATCGACTATTTGTGATCTACGATGACAAGTGGAACGATGTTGGTAAGATGTACGAAGGTGGTGTTACGGGTAGGCTAGATGTTGATGTAACAATAACATATGTCAACCTAGTAAGTGCTTTGCACATGCTTACTAGAATTGATCCTGACCAATTTGATCTTGTTATACTGTGTGTATATAAATTTGATTTTCAGTACGAAGTCCCGAATTATCTGATATTTGATGATACCAGTTTGAGATTCTATTTGAATAATCCTCCCGATTCATCACAAGTACCCTTGTAATCATCGTACCTAAAGCATCATATGGTAACGAGAGCAACAGAGAAAATATTTTTTTGGAAACCCATATATCATCTTCATTCCCATACTACCCAGGACAGAATGATCAATGTTTCGGCCCTTCTATTTCTATTCACTCTCATTTAAAGGATGTCTGTCCCCCCTCATTTGTCACACAGATTACACCATTGACCAATAATGTTGTCCCATGTAACCTAGGCGACGACGAATCTCCATATTATGGTCAATTGTACGAGAATGAGGTTTAGTACGAGCTTCAGAACAATGATGAGTCTGATTATGATGAATATCATACTGAGTATGGGGTTGAGGACGAGGATAGTAAAGCAGAGATTGAGAACGATGGTGGGAATGGGTATGACAATGGGGACGAGGACGTATATGAAGACCATTATGAGAATGAAAGTCAACCTATTCATGAGTCGCATACAGTGAGTGGGAATGCACCTTGCCAAACAGTTGAAGGAGTAGTTTCACGTCCGATGCAGAATATCATAACTGGCAATGAGGTAGACTATGTAGGTAAACTTGCTGTTAAGGGTATTTTCCATTCAAATGAAGAACTACGCTTCAAGCTGTCTGTGTTAACTATGAAGCTTAATTTTGAATTTAAGGTTAAAAAATCAACGAAGACATTGTACACCGTTTGATGTACTGAATAAGGTTGCAAATGAGGTTTGCGTGTGAAGAGTATCCGAGGTGGTGATTCATTCATCATTTCGATGTTTACTGATGTTCACAAGTGCAAACGTGAGATACTGAATCATGACCACAGGCAAGCTCGAAGTTGGGTGGTTGGTCAGTTATTAAAGTTCAATCTCGATGATGTAAGCCGTCAGTACAAACCTAAGGACATTATTAACGACATGCGAAAAAACTATGGGGTGAACATTACGTTTGGAATTGTCGATCGGGAGAGTGATCAATCCTGGACTTGGTTTCTGAATATGGTCAGGCATTGTATTGGAGAGGTTCATAGGCTATTATTCGTATCTAATCGACATGTTTCCATTACAAAATCTGTTAGGCAGGTCTTTCCTCAAGCGGCTCACGGAATATGCATGCAGCACTTGTCCACGAACCTGAAGGACAAATTCAAGGACGATGTCATTCAAAAAATGTTCATATTAGCAGCAAAGGAATGCCAGAAGTCAGAGTTTAGGTACTATTTTTCCCAACTAGCAGGATTTCCAAAGGTCCAAAGGTACTTGAAGGAATCGGTTTTGAAAAATGGATTCGTGCATTTCAACCAGGTTTGAGATACGACCAAATGACATTTAATATTGCAGAGTCTATGAATGCAGTCATCATCCATGCATGTTCATTGATTATAAATCTAAAAGAAAAATAACATTAAATTCAAGTTTTATGCTATATAATTTTTTTTTTAGTACTATGTTGTATACATACTCTACACTACTTTTTAGTAAGGTATTGATTTTATTTTTTGTAATGATTGGTGGTCGGTTTTTTTACCAAACCAACTAAACATCAATTAAGTAAGTTTTAATGGATCATATCAGATTTTGGTAGTACTTTGCTCACCCATAACCTTAATCAATATTTTTAAGATCGGTTCTATTCTCTCACTACCTTCTCTCGCTATGCTCATTTTCTCACTCGTCTCTATTTTCTCTCACTAACTTCCCATCATACGCTTTCTTATACAAATCATTCCTTGTTCTCTAACATTTTTACATTTTTCTTACTAATTTCTTCCTTAAGTACACATTATATTATTTGTTAAAAGATTACTTCTAAAGCACTCCCAAAAAGCTACAACCAAACAAAAAAAAAGTATTAAATACGTTTCTTTTTTTTAATCAAAAGTATTGAGGTACTTTCCATGATAGCATTTTGTTTGAGAATGCTTTTAATAATTTTTTTTTCCCAAGAGCATGCTTGACACACTCTTAGGGTTTTTTTTTTCTTTTTTAATTGGAAATACCTCATCATAACCCATAATTTCATATTGGCAAATGAAAGAAAAATTCAACCACATATATATTTATTTGGTGACCTAAACAAGCATTACTTTTTATTGGATATTTGAGCCATTTGATCCAAAGTTTTCACAAAACTTCCACTCTTATACCATTGACAACCATTAATCTATGTGCAAATTATTTAACTCTAAAATAAGAGCAATCCCTACATGTTCTGGACCAAATTTGCTTTTGCATTAATTAAATAATTTTTTCAAAGAGTGCATCACTAAATATTTGAATTTTATATTTTGTTGGACACCATAAACTTCCACATTGCACCAACTAATTAAGTTCATTAGAGTAAAAGTTCTAATTGAATTTTCAGGAGAATTATTATACTGTGATTTTCAAAATATCTATTTTAGTCTCTAAAATTTTTACTTTATTTCATTTTAGTCATTTAATTTGCAAACGGTCTATTCTAGTCCTTTAACTTCAAAAGAACAATCATCCTTGAACTTTCAAAATGTCTATTTTAGTTCCTTAACTTCAAAAGAACAATGTTCGGGAGTAACTAATATTACACAATAGCAAACTTTCATTTAGTAAAGGGAGGCTTCATATAGAGCCAATTGTAAATCTAATTAATTTACAAACTTCTAAACTAGAGAGAAAGTCACATGTATTTGCCTCAAATGTGAGAAGCTAAAGTTATTTTTATTTATTTTTTTTACATAAAAATCACTTCAATTAAATAATAAAAGAAACATTGTCAAAATGGCTACATCGATGAGTCTTTCATCTACAAACATGACAGATAATCAAGAGGGAAAAGAGTCCAACCGTAGAAACGAAGACAAAATATTGGCAAACTTTTTTTGTGAGGAAATCGGTCACTCTATTATTTGCCTACTGATGGGCTCAAAAGAGATAAGATCGAAACGAGAAGCCAGATGATTGATATCTAACACCCAAATAATATCCTCCATAAGCAACTTCCACACATAAGATTAATCACATGAGAGTAATAAGAAAATTTGTATGGGATGCCAATTCGTTTGTTGTGCAAGTTTAACCCCACATGAATTGCAAGAAGCACAATCTACCAATGGTATTAGAGAAGCTAAGTTTGAATATGACTTTAATTTTTTTTAGTACAACAAGTGGGATGGGAAATTTAAATTTATGATCTTGGTCGAAGACATGCACTTATTATTATTGAGTTAAGTTCATATTGCTTAAAATATATGTATTAGTGTGCTAACATGGACATGTATTACAACCACATAAATTATTTGAGACCAGTATTAAGGAAGTGAATTTAGACTAAAAAGTAATTTTAATAATCAAAATGATTACTTTTAAAAAAATTTAAAAGTTTAAGATGAAAGTGATTATTTTTAAAATTCATAGACTAAAAGAATAGAGATTTTAGTCATTTAAAAATCAAATTATGAAAGTTTCAAATATGAAAATGAGATTCAAACTTCGTATTAAAAAAGAATTACTTTTAAGTATTTCCTAATTAAATAGTTTTCTACACCACCTTAATTTAATTAATTTCATATCGTGTCAATCAATTTAGAGTAGAGGGGAGGAATTCCGGGAAATTGGGGTTTTTGACCCCACCAATAGTTCAAATTGGATAAATGAACCCCTTTCAAAAAAACCTAATTTTTGACCCCACCTCTACTTAATTTTGAACCTCTCCCCAAGCCAATTTACCATAGTACCCTCATGTTTAAAAATGAAGGGAACTCCCTCCAAGTAAATAAGTAAAATCCTAAACCCCATCTCGGACGTTTCCTGGCCCAACGAAAATTATCACCCTTTCTCGAACGTTTCATTTGTCCTAAAATCCTAAAACTCATCT